CAATGTATATCACCATGAACAACCACCAAACCCTTTAATAGTACCTAACCCACATTTCGCTAGTGAAGACCCTCTCACGCCACCCACCACCACCACCCCGTCTCCCTCCGGACGACACCCTGTATACCGGGGAATCCGATTGAGAAGCAAAAAATGGGCGTCAGAAATTCGAAAACCACGTGAAACTACACGTATATGGCTCGGTACCTACCCCACCGCAGAAATGGCCGCTGCAGCGTATGATGTGGCTTCTTTGGCATTGAAAGGGCCCGACACCACCGTGAACTTTCCAAATTTAGTTTCCACATATCCATTGCCTGCTTCGCTATCCGCAGCTGATATTCGGGCTGCAGCTGCTAGTGCTGCAGTAGCCATGGCGCCACCGCGGCAAGAGGTTGGTGACCAGGCGGCGCTGCCACAAGCCCAGTCTGGAAATGAAGTCTTACAAGAATTTGTCGACGAGGATGAACTTTGGAACATGCCAAATTTGCTGGTGGACATGGCCGAGGGCATGCTCGTGAGCCCACCTAGGATGAAATTAACCGGAGGTTATGACTCACCGGAAAATTCGTCGAACGATACCCTTTGGAGTTAATCATCGAATACAAAATCAGTAACGAATTGCGTGATCGATTATATAATTTGAATAATAGTAAAATCGTGTGATTGGACCATGTCCACCATGTTGGTTTGTTCCCTTCTACTGTTTTCTCCTTTTTTCTTCAGCATCACTGTATGTATTTGATCTTTGTCGGAGCTGAAGAATTTATTTATTATTTATTTTTATTTTTTTTTCCTGGGATTTTTAAGCTTCTTGTGGGATGGGGTTGCTAGGGTTAATTTAATAAGCCCGTATTCGTATTGAATATGATCATTACGTACTTGTTTGGCCTTGGCAAATTAGAGCAGGCTTGGCCAAGCATAAGAAGTGCATTTATAAGTGTTTTTTTTTTAATTTAAATTCATCTAGATTATAAATTAATAAGTTACTCATTTTGACAATAAAGTAGTAATTATTTAAACATATTTAGAAATTCAAAAAGTTACTTAAAAGTAAAATTTACTTGTTTTTAAGCTTACGAATGGCCTATAAACAAGTAGTTTTTACCTTTATAATGAGACTTGGAATTCTGTCTTAGAAGATCGTAACCCAAACTTTTATATGTTGTATTTTTCTTTAGTACTTGTTTGGTTAAAAAGTTGCTAAAAGTGAGCTATAATTCATTTTAATCACACATTTCATAAAATCTACAATGTTTATCAATATTTCAATCATACATATCATCAAGTTCTATTGAAATCTACTAAAACATCTAAGAAAGGCCTTATCGAACAACCCCTTAGTACTAATTCAATGTAAGATTTACTTTTTAATTATTCTCACAAGATGATGACTCATTTGAACATACTAATCATGAAATACGAATGATCATTTGCTTGTATTAATTCAATGACTTCTAACACCATATTATAATTTGTAGTTTCATTTAACAAAAAATAAAAGAAAAGTAACTTTATATTTAAATATAAGTAGTAGCTCAAACCCTAAACCATGATACATTCAATAGTTATTTAATATTTATTTCACATGGGATTTACAATTAATGTTGTTGTTGTTGTTGTTGTTGTT